AGATGGCTTAGAGCGTGGGGTGGGGGAAGCTGTGCTCGCCTGGCCAGCACGCAAGGAGCTTCAGCAGTTGCCTGGCCCTGCCGTGCTCCTGCGCTCCTGCACCCCCACGCCAGGGACTTAGGTCCCCTAATAAGGTGTTGCTGGGATCCCACTTTGCAGGGGGGGAGACTGAAGCCCAGAGAGATCAGGTGACTTGCCGGAGGTTGCACAGTAAAGCGGGGTCTGGCATTTGAACTGTGTTCAACTGGCCCTAAAGTCCTTGCTTTTACATATGCATTTAAACAACTCTATTAGAAAAGTCTTCAGGTCCAGCAGTTGCTATAATGGTTACATTACTGGACTCACACATAGTCGACTGCAGTTCGAGCCCGGGGCCTAGCAGCGTAATACTCATGTCAGACATGCGTGTGTGTGTGTGCCAAAAATCCTAAGAGGAGAAATCGAGAAGGGATTGTGGCGTGGCCATTCCCTGGGGTGTGTGTGTGTGTGTGTGTGTGTGTGTGAGATTTCTCGCTTTCTCTCTCTCTGATGAGCACATGCACCCTATAGCAAAAATCCCTCTTTAAGAAAGTCTTCGAAGAGCCATGAAATAAACAGAGCGTTACCGTCGGCCACCCGGTGGCGACCGTCACCACCCTCGGCCACGGCTGTCTCAGCCACACGTTGTCCCTCGTCCTGGCCAATCCCTTAGGATTCCTGTTGCTGCGAGCTTTGTATTTTGCCTTAAGTAAAATACACGTGCATTAGAACGTGCAAATCTTCCTGGAAGCGAAGCACCCTGCGCGCGAGCAGCTCTACATGAGCCGTTAGGCCTTTCTTCCAGTCTTACCTCCGTTTCTTCCCCCTCTAACAGTGAGCAGATACCGTGTCGTGAGGACCGCCAACGACAGAAACATGAAAGACGTTGGTTTGAGCCGGTTCCCGCCACCCCGCCCTCATTTACACAGAAGGCCCCGCAGTTCCCAGTGCACCACGCACGCCTCTCCGGAGTGGCCGTCCCAGAGGACCCTGCCACCCACACCAGGCTCCCTGAGCAGGGTCGCAATACAGCTGAGCCCAGGGCTCAGCCCTCCTGGGGAACCCCGAGCCCAAGAACCTCAGCTGGGAAGAAAGAGTGCGGGCCTCCTTGGGACCCCCCTTCTCTAGGCAAACAGTGAGCCCTTGTAGGCTGCAGGAGGCTGGCCTCCAGGAGGGGTTGCCCAGGCGACCAGCGGGCTCCTCCCAGGCCTGCTGTAAGTGGCCACGTTTCCCGGCAACCAGGTGGCAGCGTCCCCTGAGTCCCAGTCACACAGCTGCGCCCCGCCTTGCCCGGGCCTGCGGGAGCCCTGGGGCCCCCTCCTCATTCCCCAAGCCCTGGCCCGCTGTGCCTCCTGTCACAATGAACGTGGCCCTCTCCAGGTGAGTGGCCTGTGCCTTGGCTGGAGGGAGGGAAGGAGGCAGAGAGGGGTGTGGGGGCTGATGTGCCAAGGAAAGGGAGGGCACCGGGGACTGCCTGGGGGAGGGGAGGGTGCCCCTCGCCACACCAAGGCCCAGGGAACACAGGGCTCCGGAATCACCTGTCTGCCTCTCCGGTGGTACCACCCGGGCCCACTACACCCTCTCCGCCTCATGTCTGCCTGGAAAACGCCCCTCTTGCCTGAAACCCCACAGGCCTGGCCCCTTCCAGAGAGCCCCACCCGCTCCCCTTGCTCGCTCCACTCCTGCCAGCCCATCTGTTACCACCCCTGCTTCCTTTGAGGTTTGCCAACCCCGGGTACCTCTGAAGCACCTGTCGTGTTTCTTTAAAGTGAGCATCCGGCCTTGCTTATGGGTACTTGACTCAGTGTCTGGGGTGCAGGCCCGGGAACCTACAGGTGGACCTGTGCCCCAGGGATGCTGGTTCAGGGACGCGGAGGACCCCATCCAGGGGACAGGGAGTGTGGCCGGCTATGGGACCTTCAGGGAAATGCATGGCCTCCGGGGGTAATAGCACAGCTTATGGGTGACCCGGGCAGCGTTGTGACAGGGCGTGCCTCGCACGAGGGATCTGGGGACCACCGAGGGCGGCTCAGAGAGCTTCCAGCCTTAGGGATGTGACGAGGCTGCAGGTACTGACCAAAAGGAGGCCAGGAGAGCAATGCGTGGGAGTATGGGGAGGCGTGTGCCTGGCAGAGAGGGGACAGGGTGCTGGGCCCGCCCTTCCCACCCCAGGACGACTTGCCCCAGCACGCAGTCCATGCAACACCTCCTACAGGCAGGCGCCAGGCTAGGAGCATAGGAGTCTTTCCTCCTCTCCCTTGCTCTCTTCTCTCTCTCTCTTCTTTAAGTTTGCATAGGGCACATGCAGAGAGACAGAGACAGAGAGAGAGATAAAGTGAAAAAAATCACCTCCCAGAGGGGATGGCCACACCACAATCCCTTCTCCTTCATTCTTCTCTTGGGATTTGGGGCACGCACACACACATGCCTGACATGTTTTCTAAGCTGTTGGGTCTGGGACTCAAACCACAGAGCTGGCTGTGTGAGATCCAGCCTCCTTAACCACCATGCCATCTGCTGGCCCATCTCCCTCTCTGTCTCTCTCTGGTGAATGCATATGCCCTCTGGGAACTTGAGGGGACGGGGACAGTCACTGTACTTTGTGCTCCCTTTTTTAAGTATGTTAATTATAAAAAGAAAGTCCTCAGGGCTCGCAGAAGGGGGAGCATGTTGGCAGCTGGGCTGGGGCGGGTGCGTGGGGAGTCCCAGGGCAGGCCTCGCTCCTGGGGACTGTGAAATAAAGGACTCTGCCAAGGAGGCGAGGCCTGCAGAGGGCCCAGGGAGGACCTTCCTGCCCACACTGCCCTGCTCTGCCTCCACGGCCTGGCTGCGGCCCGAGCCCGGTCCCAGAGCAGGTGCCTGCCTTCGTGGGAGCCAGCGTGGCGGGGCCCCACAGTCGTGGCGGGTGTCTGCTCTGGCGTGACCAGTCCACGTCACTGCACAGGACGCCGCTCAGGGCCCCGCCTCCGCAGGCACAGCCAGGTGCGGGTGATGGAGGATGTTGTGGGCAACGCCGAGAAGCACTTCGGGCAGTTCTGCTCGCTGCTGGCCGCCTACACGCGCAAGACGGCCCGGCTGCGGGACAAGGCAGACCAGCTGGTCAGGCAGCTCCTGGACTTTGCCAACACTGAGAACCCCGAGCTGCGGGCCACACTGCGGGGCTTTGCTGAGGACTTGGCCAAAGTGCAGGACTACAGGCAGGCTGAGGTGAGCGGGGCGGCTGGGCCTGGGACACCCATGGCCGAGGTCAGGGGGACAAGGTCAGGGGGACGGCTGGGCCTGGGGTGCCCATGGCCGAGGTCAGGGGGACAGCTGGGTCTGGAACACCCATGGCTGAGGTCGGGGGGACAGCCGGGCCTGGGACACCCATGGCTGAGGTTGGGGGAGGCCTGGACCACCCTGGGTGGCCAGAGCCAACAAGTGTTTCCCCAAGAGTCCCCGAATCGTGGACAGCTATAGCAGGCCCTCCCTGGGTGTCACACCTCCATGCACAGATCTGCACGTGGAGGGGGCTTCACGGGGCTGGCCAAGGGGCAGCCAGACAGGGGAGCCAGGCGTGGAGCGACCACTGCAGGCTCTGTGGATCCTGCAGAGGCGCTTCTGGGGCCCTGGCGGAGGACGGGGATCCTGGCGGTGCAGTCTGGCGCAGGCTGCAGGAAGGTAACGAAACAGACACCTGCCAACCCAGAAAACCCTCTGTGAATTATGAGAAGTAACGAGACAGCTTCAGGAAGTGAGCGCCAGACCGGGGCCAACTGCTGAGAGGTGACCACGGCGCTCAGGGGAGCAGGGCCCAGTGAGACGCGCTCTCAGGACAGAGTGCGAGCCCTGATGGCTCTGCTTCTCCTCCGCCTGTCCCAATGTCACCTGGCAGCTGGCACCGCCCGTGCACGTCACCTGAGGGCAACACGAAACGTCTCGTACGTCTATGGCAGGCAGGGGCCGGTGTAGCACGTCCCGTCCCCAGAGCCAGGCTTGGTTTCTTACCGGCAAAGCGGGGCCCCCTGCTGCCCTGCGCAGCGCTGGGAGGCGGGCACAGGGCTGGTGTGGAGAGGGCCCTGCCTGTGCTCCCGCCACCCGCCACCCCGGTCACCTGGTCACCCCAGTGAGTCCTGCGCCGGCACGGTCTACCCAGGGCTGCACGCACCCCCAGACAGTTAGGAAACACGAGGAAATGGGCCTAGCGGGACTAACAGCACTGCCCGGCCACTAGGAGGCTGGGCGCCCGCAGCCCTGAGGGGTGGGGATATGTCGGGCTTCTCCGGGCCCTCCGGGGCTCCCGTGTGCGCTCTGGCGGTGCAGAGCTGTGTATGTAGGCTGGAGGCGGGCCCCATCCCTGCCCCTGCTCAGAGTGAGATCAAGAAATTCAAACGGGTCCAAAACCATGAGATCAGACAGCTGGAAAAGCTGGAGAAACTGAGGCAGAGGTCGCCCTCGGACCGCCAAATGACCGTATCCTTTCCCGGAAGTGGGGCCTGGGGCTGACGGCCCGGGGCTGCTCGTCAGTCACACCGCCGTCTGGACTGGCCCAGGGGGCGGCGGGCAGCGGCTGCAGACGGGCGGCCACCACTGGACTGGCTGGCTCAAGTGGGCTCCTTAACACAGATATCCCAGTCCCAGGTGAGTGTCACCTGTCTGTCCAGGGCAGGTAGAGCCGCGCGCACTGAGACGACCTCACGGAACGGCCCTGCGAGCTCTGTCCGGGCAGAGGCTGGCGAGAGTGGAAGGTGCAGGGACAGTGGTGTCGTCAGGGCCTGGGCTCGGCCCCACTGTCGGCACTGAGGAGTCGCTGCCCTGGGGGCCTCGGATCCCCACCAGGGAGGCCTCTTGTGCCCGGAGAGCTGGGCACCTCATGCGCCATCCCCACCGTCCAGGTGGGTTCACACTTGGGCAGGAGCTCGAGGGCACAGCACAGAGGGGCCAGCATGCTCCCCTTGAACCGTCCTGCCTGGCGGGAAGATGGCAGTATGGGGCCAGGGCTGCTGGAGGACTGACCCCACCCACGGGGTGCCCCTAATACATGGAACCCGAGGTTCTTGCCTGAGGCCACGTGTCCCCCACCCCCACCGTGTCTGGCACTGTCCGGAGAATGGCTGTCACGGCTGCTGGGGGCTCCTGCCCGGGCTAGGCGCCTGGCACTTGGGCACGAATGACCACGGCCACAGACGGCAGACTGGACCGGCCAGCCCCAGCGGCCACGCCCC